CCACCCCCCAACACTTTTTGAATTTCCACACAATATCAATCAAGATGTAACTCATGGAATGTACACTAAGCATACTTCTTATATAAATCATGTATTGTCAACTTCTTCTTTTTATATAAACAAGTAATATAATCAGAACAAAAGGCTTTTCTAACAATTGGTATGTATGTTGGTTTAAGATAATTTTATATAAACTTCATGAAATATTTGCTAATCCACTATGCTAAACAGATGCTCTTCACTTGCTACAAATTTGAACATATGCTTACCCGTTTGCCTCATTTGAATAAACTCAGGTGATAAGAGCACTACTTGTATTGGGAGAACCGCGTCGGAGTTGAGTTTGAGTATGATCCCTGGCTCTATGTTAGCCGAACATTCCTTTTAATGTCTGTTAAGGTGGATAGTTTCAATATCCTTTTGCCATGCTAATCTTACTTTGCAGTACTTTCCTGCTGCTCTGTAATTTGGATTTCTATTTACTTTACTTGTGACCATCCGTTCAAAGTGTTATCAACATTCGATAGTTTGTTTCTTTCTTCATTCACTAGTTGAACTGACCATATGCAGTTCTTCTTCTTTCTAAATGTCATCCGAATTAATTGTATCCGTACTACTAAGCACATAGTCCTTCCCAAAATCAACAAGAATTAGGATGTCATTATCATTATCAAACTTAAGAGACGAAGTGGGATCTACACTTTGTGGTGTCTTAGAGCCGACACCGAACATATCCTCAATATTCTCTAAATAATTATTGTGATCCATTTGGTAGTTAACCAAAGTAAATCCATCTTTCATTTTTATTCCATAGGCGATATTTGACTAATCAAAATTTAATATTGGAATATGAAACATACTGCAATCAAACACTATAAAAACCACATAATAAAAGAACCGTCCCAACTTGACCATTATCTTTTGCACTAGATCTACAAACATTTATTGAAATGAAGGACATGGGTGAATTAGATTACACATAATTGGTGTTAAAATTATACAAATCGTTCGAAAAAATTTCTTGCGCCGACACAGGAGATGTATATAAAGAAGATTCTTGAACGTTTCAAAATGAAAAATTGAACCCTGTTCACACTCTTGTATCGAAGGACAAAACTCTAAGTCTTCACATCCATTCTAAACACTTGAAGAAAAAGAAAAAAAATATCCGAAGTACTGTACTCTAGTGCACTTGGGAGGTTGATGTACAGTATAATGTGTACTTGTTTCGAAATTTATTTTGCTGTTGATCTAGTCAGCAGGTATCAATCTAATCTTAGAATAGGATATTAAAAAGTTGTTAAGAGGGTATTGAGATACCTGAAAAGTTCTACTAGTTATTCCTTGTACTATCAAGGGAATGCTTTGTGGTTAAAAGGATATATAGATTCTGAATAGGGCGAAAACTTTGATGAATGCAAATCAACTTTAAGATATTCATTATTGCATAATGGCGCCATATCTTAGAATGGCAAGATACATGTATGCACTTCCTTGTCTACAGTTGAAGTAGAATTTGTGACGTGTGCTTCAGCGTTACATTTCTACGCATACTAGATGATCCGCTTATTAAAACTACAAAAAAGAGATGGTTTTAGGGACATAATTATCCATCGCTGAAGGCTTGAAATTCTTTGTAATATATTTTAGAGACAAAATCCATCCGTTGATAAATTCGACGGTAAAACCCTCCCTGGTAATGTGTCGATGAATTAGATTGACCGTCGGTAATTAGCAACGAAAAAAACCTTTTTATTTCCATTCCTAACTGCCAACATTTTTCCTATGGAACTACTTGTTACAAAAATAGCGACGGATCTTTCGTTTTGTTTCCTTTGTTGACTACTAACATATTTCCTACGAAACTATTTGTTCCTAAACAGCTACAAATCTTTTGTTTTTGTTTCCATCACTAACTACCAACATATTTTCTACGGAACTATTTGTTCCTAAATAGCTACAAATCTTTCATTTTTTATTTATACTCAAATTTTCACCAAAAAATATTTTGTCGAAAATTTGGATTACAATTAAAAAAATGTCACTAATTATTTTATTAATATATTTCTATTGTGAGTTAAAACTATTGAGAAAGTTAATATATTTAAAATACATCCATAAATAAACAAACATGAAATATAAACATTTTCATTCCATGAATTCAATGTTCAAAGTTACAATAAATTACATTAAGTTTGCTTCCATTTCAAAAGTCAATACTAAAATTACACACCTCGGCATGTCATAATCCAAACCCACAAACATATACGTTTGATCCATTTGCAAAAAGAAGTTCTACACCCTTCAATGGTAATTTTTTTAATAAACAAAAAAAATATTTACTATGTCTAACCATTGAAGATCATTTTGTTTGAATGACTAATCTCATGATCCATTGCTTTCTCCCAACATCTGATGTATAGTTTGTTTGAACTCAATGCACTTCTTCTCGTCTACGATCTTTCATTTTTTAAAATAATCCATCATTTCCCTTGTAAGTTGATCTACCTTATTGCAAGCAAAATGAATTTCCTATTTTAAAGTGATGAAATCACTATGTCCATCATATGGAACACAATGCAAACCAGAGGAGGTTTCGTCTTTGTGGAAAACAAAATGATGAATACTAAGCCCATACAAGCGACCACCCTTACAAGTACCTTGTGTTGCTCCACACCATGCTTCAATATCAATTTCAGGTTGTGACACATTTGAATTGCATTTTCATGAATTATAGTTATATATTTCTCTTGTAAACGAAACAACTACGAAATATACGCCTATAGCCTACACCTACTCGTGCTTTTAAAAAACCAAAAGGCATGTAAATAGTACTAGCCTTGATCAAAATATCAGCATTAAAACATAAGAAGCATGCAATGTCAACTCAGACACAGTGTCAAACTTTAGCTTAATAAGAAATGTCGTTCCAATGCTAATGCCAACAAAACATGTTTGGATATGTGCATTACCAATCAGTTCCAGATACCGAAATTTACATCAGATGTAAATGCCGAAGAATCGAAATGGATTAAATAGTGCTATCAACAAATCAATCAAATTTCTTTAGAGTGTAAGAAGATACCCAATATACAACTTCAATTAACTAGAAGATACACTATTAAGTTCATTATTACACATACATTAGACCCCAAGAAAACCTGCATATATGGAAACATGAAAGAACAAATCAACTATTGACACTATTACTTCTAAATATTTCCTGTGTAATTTAATGGAATATTTTAGATGGGCAAATAATGAGCGCACGAAAACTCCAAGAAGGGAATGCAAAGTACATCGGAACTCAGAACCAGATCAAAGTATTACGCACAACCAATTCAACCATCATATAGTATTTAGGAATAGCTAGTTAATAACATGAAAGTTAGAGTCTAATCAAAATAGAATTTATTTCCACTTACCGATACTGTAAAGCCCTGAAAAATTTTATAAAATAGAATTAATTGTTTTAAATTCTCATTTCTTTGAGTCAAATAATTAGATTTAATGGAGCAAGTTTTAGTATACCAATATTGGACTCTTTTTGTAACTTGTAATTAATTAGAAATTTTTAACCAAAAAAAAAAAAAAAGCTTAATCGAAATAGTTAGGCCCAAAATATAAAGTTCAAAGAATGTCCTTTATTATAAAATTAACTAAGTTGACCTTTTTGGAATTCATTAGTTGTCAAACACGTGTGCCTTTATAAAATTGAATGATGGAGTAACTTTAGGCCATTTTTACAGCATTTGAGTGTCCATATACTGTGATAGAAGAATTTTAGGTGGCTCACGTGGATATCTACATGGAATGATTATTCTATACCTTAAATAAGAACATTAAGTTGGAATTAATAGAGGGATGATATTTTTTACCGGACGGAATACACTTATAGACACGGCAATAGAGATAAGGCTTTGGGAACGTGAAGTAATTGCTTTTCTTCCAACAATTCTTATCCATCGAGGTAGGATTTCGAGGTGCAAGTGGTTCCTCACGTTTAATCTTATTATTTCTTGTTGATAAATATTATGCTAATGAACTTTACACGTTATGATATGATATATGATAATGACAACTCGGTATAAATGATATGATATGAGCTCTTACCGGAGTCTAAAGATATGATATAACGGTATGATTATTTTGACGCATGAATTGATATTTTTTATCGGGACTGCACGATACTTGTGTCCTATTGAGTATTCCCACATACTCACCCATTTTCCCTACTACTCACAGGTTAGAATGGGTTGTTAGTTGGGGGGCGATATGGTGCGGTCATTGTGCCAAGGTTTATGAAACTCAATAAATAAATTCCGGTGTAATGTGACTGAACATTTTATTTCCAGCAATAATCTTAGTGGTGTTTATTTATGAACCACTTTCATTTTTAATGAATTAGACAATTTATTTGATTTGATCTATAGTACATATTATCGTGAACCAATTTCTTATACACTTAGGCTACTATATAAATTACAATCTGTTTTAATTTTGATTTCTCATATTCAATTAGTACCCTGCATGTGATTTAATTATTGGTTGAATTCGATAAAATTAAGTAGCTAATTAAAATTATCCACTAATTAGAGGAAACATAGTGCTAGGGACCATTGTACCAATTATGTCAGAGAAATTGAAAAAAATCTTCATTTGCCTGCCACTTACGCCAAATTCGTAAAATTATTTTCTTTGACAATTATGATCCCAATGTTTAAATTATAAATTAGTTACGGGTATTATGCTTCATTGGACTAAGTCGCCGAAATTGCATATTTGTATATATGTTGTTGTTGGAATTCCTCAGTTACACATAAAATTGAATTCTAGGATTTATTTAAGAATTTGAGATATATCCAAACATGTAAGAACATATTATGGTTTTGGGAAAAGTCTCATTTTTAAGAGAATAAATAATTATGAGATTTGAAAAATTTCTCTACAACAAATTTTAGTAAATTATTGTCACATGATGTTATACATTCCATGCGATGCGGTTTTAAATTCCTTTCCTTTAATAAGAAAATTTTGGTTGCGATCTAAACTCAAATAAAATAGAATAAAAAAAAACAAAAATATTTGGGTCGTTACACATACAATCCGTGATTTGTTGTGTGCAAAGTCTCCTTCTCCCTTCTCTTGATAGTGTACACGTTCGAACAATTGTGAAGCAGCAAGTGGCTTGTCTAATTTTTCATGCCAGAAATAAGCAATAAATGAAAAGTTTAGTTTAAAAGATTCTTGATAAGAAATAAATCAAACATCATTTCATGCATACTGTATATAAATTGTACGTATTTAAGTCATGATTTCTCAATGATGTTGTAAAACAGAAATTGGTATTTAATCCTTGTATAGAAAGTACTGATGCAGACAAGAAGAATTAGTTAAAATCTATCAGTACAATGATTTCTCTGTTGCACAAGCTTTCTTTGCTAAATGTCATAGACAACTGATTATTCTCTTGATAGATCATTTGATTTTTCAGGTAGGATATTCTAAAATTAAAGACTGAATATGCAGAGTATAAAGATAGACATGCTGTTTTTTCCAACTTGATTTTAGATAGAACATGCTAAAAATAAAGACAGAACATGATTATTTTTCCCAATTTGATTTCAGACCGAACAAGCTAAAAATAAAGACAGAACATGCTGATTTTTCCCACATCTAATATAAAATGCATAGAGAAAGCTCTTCTAACGAATGAACAAATGAAATTCTGGTATAAAATGAACATAATTTATAGAATAATATACTCATATATAATATGTCAATTGTCTATGCAATTGAGTCATGCACGTTAAACATTATCAGCCTCTGCTCATGGACAGCAATTATTATTTAATAAACAACGTGCTTAGTGATGGTTCCTGACTTTACAGTCAGTCAGTTATCACGACCAAGTTTAGACTTCTTCCTTCTTTCATTGTTCCATTGTTTCTCAATTATCTCATCCCAGTGCCCTACACTTAACCATGGGGGTCTATATCCCTTTCAATTATTTATAGTTTCAGACTTGCTATTTTCCTTAGCCTTCTTTTGAGTAAAAAAAATATATCTCACAGTCGATTAGTTGGGTGGTATTCTATGACTTATCCCCCCTCGTTGTCTTTATATTTGGTCATGAGCATTGTTGCTAATGTAGGTACCAACCATTAGTATGAAACAAACAATATAATAAATAGAGACATAAGTATATTTAAAAGAAATATATATTACCTAAAATCTTTCCCACAAGAACTTTTTTGTGTCAGCTGGTACCAAACTAAACATAGGATAATGTCCGCCCAAGTAAGCCTTCAAATTGGCACTTACAGTACACGATATCGAGGGAGTAATGAATCTACAAGCATGAAAGCACAAGATGACCATGACTTAAAAAACAGAACTTAACCAGAAATGGTGAAAATACATATTTGCCAATTCAACATTAAACTAGATTGAAGCAGTGAATGCGACTTCAAAAATGAATTAAAATGTGATAAAATGAAATCATATTGTAGCAGAGAATGGACTTCAAGAAGTATAGTAAAAATATCACAATATTTACCTCAACTTCAAACTTGTATAGTTATCACCTTACTCTAATGTAATAATATTAAACAATGTTATAGGGAATGGACTCTATAAAGGACATTGAAAATATACCATGGAACAAAATGGAAAAACATTCATCCAAAAATATATATGCTGTTTAAAACTACCCCATTTCATCAACTAGAAAATGGACATGATAAGCCATTGTATATTTTCTGTCTCCCAGAGTCATTCAGTCCATTTAAAATCAGTGACATCATTTTACATTCAAAATGAAATCTCCAAAAATAAGTTCAGATAAATGCCTATTATCTCCCATGGTTAAAGAGGTTTTTCTAGATTCATCTGCACAACCATTAGTATCGTGGTTAGGACTACTTTTTCTACAATTAAGGCTTCACAAAGAGAGCCATCAGCATCCTCAGATTCATTCTTAGTCCAATTATTGTCCTCCTCATGGGAACCCTAGGCATGGAATTCCATCTTACTCGATTAGTCATCTTCAGTTGAAGTTAATTTCAGTTTGAGTTTTGAAAAGGATCAAAGGGTTGAAAAAAGTGATGAGGATGCTATAAACTTTGCATAAGCTAAATGATGGAAGAATGTGGTATATGGGAAAAAAAATGAGGGAATGAACGATTGAAAACATTTTGGAAGAATTTTAGGGAAAGGTTGAAATATTGGGAGGGATTAGATGAATTAGATAGTGGGATAAATTTTGTAAATGCTGAATTTTGATCATTCTTATAGATGATATTTTGCTATTCATTTGTATGAAGTACTGAATTTTGGAAAAAAAAAAAAAAAAAAAAAAAAAGGCCATTAAATCTTAAATCTTTTCAAATTAGTTGAAAATACTGAATAACAAATTGAAAATTTGTTATTTGATTACATCATGTGGATCTCGAACTCGGTATAATTAAGTATACTTCATCAACCGCTCAATCATGTTATAGTTATTGCGCTTTCTCATTGAATTCAAATTAATTAATGTTTTCTTCCTATGTATTCAATTCCACATATTCAAGCCTTGAAGGAACTTTCATTGAAGTCCAATTCCCAATTCCTCAAGCCTCGAGAAAATGTATGTTGAAGTTCAATTTCTAATACCTCAAGGGAACGTTTCAATTCTCAATTCTTGAGGCCTTGATCGAAAGTTCAAAGTTCAATTCTCAATTCATCAAGCCTTGAGGAAACTTTCATTGAAATCCAATTCCTAATTCGTCAAGCCTCGAGAGAATGTTAGCTGAAATTTACTTCCCAATTCCTCAAGCCTTGAGGGAACATTTTGTTGAAGATCGATTATCCCTTAACTAAAATTGGATACCCAAGTAACTTTCTAGAATGTTAGTTGCTTTTACAAATGAATAAACGAGAACATTCATATCTAAATAATGATGAAAATTCAAAGCCCTAAATTTAATTATATCCTTCTTCATTCAAAAAATACAAAAAAAAAAATAAATAAATAAATAATTTAAAAAACAAAAAGGCAGTTTCGGAGCCCTAAACAATGGAATTTAACCAAAAAATTTGTTTGTTCCCTGTTTGCTGCGGTGTGTGGCTGGGCAGATTTATTTATTTTTATTTGTTTGGTTGTTTAGTATATAGTATTGTTCGGGAAAACTCTCGTTTGACATTCTGTAAGTGATCTTAAACGTCTACTTCAATAATCTTCTTTGCGTTTAGAGAAAAATTGATATAAAGAATTATACTTATGTTGAATTCTACAAACTTCTTTACTTTTCTTGAACGCGAACAATCATGATCTGCAATTCACGGCTGTCCAATTGTCTAGCCTCCAATAAAAATCTACGTAGAGAATAAAATTGAAAGAACTAGGATTTTTACTTTTCTTATACTAGCAAGACTAATTATGTTCTCTATTGAAATTTTCAAACCTAGCAACCTATTAATATAAGAGCAAGTGAACTTGGCCCTTATTCTAACTTAATCCGATCCAATATTTAATTAATCCAATTAATTAAATTTATTTCATGAATTAATTAATCAAATTAGTTAATTTGGGCTTATTAACAAGCAACCCAATTAATTAATTATCCAACATCTGTCAATTATTTAATTGTTAAATATCATTATTCTAGTTCTTCTTTTGTGTGTGACCTATTAGGTTTTTAATTACGATATCTAATGATGTGGATTATTATTTTGATCTAATTAAAATTGGTAAATTAAAATATTCATTTTTAATTTATCACAAATTCACATTCGTCGACCCAAATTGACATCTAACAATGTGTCAAGACAATACACGTGACGAAAAATGTCACAAGGTATGGCAAAATCAAACTTGTTCGTTTATCATAAAACTATAATCCTTTCATCAATATGATCTGATGAATTACGAGATATAGATATGTGTCAATCTCGATTATTAATCAAATATTTTATCCCACCATGAAGTCAATGCAAGTCGAAACTCATTTTAGAATTATGAGTGTACCTAGCCAAGGATATCATTATCAATTTCACTGGATGAAATGTAGATTATAGTCTCTTATTATCTAAGAGTAACAAATCCTCTATCGATGATTCAACCTTCATATGATTCTTGACATACTCGAACGATACCGTATTAGCAGCCCCTTGGTAGAGAACTTCCAACATCACTGAAATATGTTGTCCTCATACAAGGTATTATGATGACCTCAAGTTGAATGATCAATTTCACTACAAATTATTAAAGATTAACCACTAACGCTTAGTTACCCAAGTTGAATATCTCCAGTAGGTCTGCAATGTTCTGTTTTATAACAAAGCATCCATGTATTCATTTAAATGTCACCACACTTTAGCTTTGAGATCAACTACTTACTTCGCAAGTAAGAAATACTACACGTGATGGTCTATCCAGAATAACAATATTCTTATCTCGTTATTACTTACGACTATGGATGACTTAAGATCGGTCATAAGAAATTTGTATCTCACAATTACAACTCTTTATGATTAACAAATTACTAAAATTTAAATATACGTACTCTATTGATTAATTTAATTGAATATTGATTAAATAATAGATCTGCCATAAAATTGCATCAATAATATATTAGAAGTGTTTATATCCAAAGTTGATTGGACTTAGGATATAACACTTACACCTTTTCCATATATGGGTCAAATGTTTTCCTACACATAGCACTTGAAAAATATGAACAATAAGAAGAATAATAAACTAAAAATGACTACAATAATAATAGTACAATTTTGTCTTTCACTTACACTTGTTGTGAAGCCATCACCACTGTCAACATCGTCTGGCTCTGTATTTTCTTCTACATTAAACCTTTTGGATCTATATTGAACATCTTAGATTCATCCCCAACATTAGTAGAAACTAAATTTGGAAATTGAACTTTGAAGTTATTCGAACAGGTTGCTGGGTAAGTGGTGGTTGATCATCTTGGAATGCAAGTTTCACCCATACATTACACTTTTCATTCTTCGATATGATTCCTAGTATGTTAGGAACATTTCTTGCTTTTGTTTTCACAACCCCCAACATATTAAGTCTATCTCTATCCTTCGTTGGAAAATATGTGAATATACTTGTTGAGAAAGTATAAGCACAACATTTGTTTGTAATTTCTTCTTATGATTAAGTTGGACAAGACCGAATCGTCGATGGATTCTAAATCCACCATTGATGTCAAACCAATCACACTTGAATAAGGTTACCTTTTTTTTTTCAATGTCTCCTAAATAACCAAACTCCTAGTATTTCAGATAACTTACCATAGTAGTCACGTTCATACTCATTATAATGACTTCCTAGCACTAACATACCACTATTCATTGTTGTTTTGTGGGACTCATAATCTAAAGTGTGAAACTTAAAACTATTGACAAAATATTCATTATACCAATTCAGTCTATGAGAGGGTCCTATAGCCAAATCCTTTATGCAATTATAAACTTTATTATGATTTTCCAAAACCTAAACAAAAGAAATAATATGTATTAAACTCATTTTTCAAAATACTTTTTGGGGGTAATTGAGACAAAATCACATACGTATTCCCTCAACCAACATGAAAATATTCTTTCTGTAAATAATCAAATTGTGCGTCAGACATTTGGGCAAACAACATTCTCATATGTTTATCAAGCTCCCTACATGTGCTATGAGAAATTGTAAATGTTGCTAACTAAGCATATAGTTCAATATATATTGGAAATGTAATTATAACAACTTACACCCTAAAAGGGGTTACTTTCTCCAATTCAAAAGCACACTTATTGAAGATGCTCTGAATTCCTCATTTATCATTAATTTGCTATTAAGACATTGAATGCCAAAGGGTAGTCTAGGATAGGTAAAAATCGATAGTCTCCCTTGGAGATCAATAAGACCTCCATCATCATTCCTCAATGCATGACTCAATCTCGTTGAATATTTTGATCAAAATACAAAGAGCAAAAAGTTGACGTCTTCTACACTTAGTATGCCTTAATATGAGTTCGATTTTTCACCTTATTTTCTAAGTAGCGTAGGAACCAATGATACATGAAATCAATATCTTTTAGACTTTAGAAGGTAAATTAAATATTGAGGCCTTTGCTACCTCTTAAAGGATACATCCAACAATGCTGCATAAGACTCTAACCTTTTCTTCATCTGCAAAATGAACAGGTAAATGCTTCATTGAATAAAAAAAATCCTGATGGAAATATCTTTTCAAGCTTGCATAATGTCAAAAAATATTTTGTTCCAATTGCTCCATATCTTTAACCCTCAAAATAATGGAGCATATATCCCTAAAAAATAGTCGAGTTCAGTTAAAGCTTCCCAAATTGGTTTGGGCAACAAGTTTTTAAGTACAATCAGTAGCAATCTTTGCATAAAAATATGACCATCATAGCTCTTCATTCTATAAAACTCACAATCACCCTAAACACAACATAAAATGTTTGATGCATAACCGTCATGCATTCTTAGATTCCTAATTTAACTACATACTTCTCATTTTTGTACATGAGTTCAGTTATAGGAGGCCTTTGGCATAGATAGCTTTCCTCTTTCATCTTCATATATATGAAGCTCCCAAGGATTGCAATAAAGCTCCAAATCCTTTCTAGCCTTGAAGTTGTCATTAGTTTTCCATTTCATATCCATAATTGTGTTGAATATATTTTCGAATACATTCTTGTCAATGTACATCACATCTAAATTATGCCTTATAAAATTTGTATCTTAATAAGGCAACGCCCAGAAAATGCTTCTCTTCACCCAATCATGGCTATGATCAAAACCTTTGATTTCTTTTCTCTTATCATCTCTACCACTTGCAATGTGGAGGAAGTTCTCCACTATACTTCACAACTCTTCACCGGTTAGCCTATAGTGCCATATCCTTCTCAACTCTACCTTCATAAGATTTGTCTTTTTATTCACTAAATGTATGGTCAAGTTGTAGAAGTTGACTGTGACAATAAACAAAAGATGTTTTCCTCCATTTTTAAGCTTGAAAATTTTAGTTTGACCTATACAGTATAAACAAGACTTTAGGTCTTAACGAAATCACTAATAGTCTAATCAATGCAGCTTTCAACTAAAAATTCTTCTTCATTTTTATTTCATACGTTTCAACACCTTCATCCCAAAGTACTTTCAGTATGTCAATGAGAGGATGCAAATAAACATCCAAAATTTTCCCTAGATTCTTTGGTCATGGGATAACCACACTAAAAAACAAGTTGTCTTGTCGCGTGCACATCCATGGTGGAAGATTGTACATAGTAATGATTACTAGCCAACATGAATATTGCACATTTGACAACCTAAAGGAGTCGAACCCATCTGTACATAAAATAATGCGTACACCACATGGCTTAAGGGAAAATTGAGGAAATTTTTTATCAAATTACTTCCATACCTTGTATTTCATTATCAATTAATTGATTCTTTGAGTGCCATAACATATGCCATGCAGCATGTCTTGACATATACAAATGTTGAAGCCTAAAAGTTAGAGGTAGATATTGTAGTACCTACCAAGGTACCATATGTCCAAATAGAGACACCTTCTCTTTATATCATAGACTAAAATACGTAGGACACTAAGTCATGCTCTTAGTTTCTTTGTAGTACAACATGCAATTATTCACACAAGCATGGATCTTCATAACACTAACATGCTATTCGGTCACCTCCTAGGTATTTACTTAATGATAGACAACACATGATCATAACATGCTGTAGGCATATTAACTTTAGACGACAGATTCAATAGTCGTGCCACAATATGAAGGTTTGTGTACTTACTACAACTAGTCCACATAAGTTTGTCAGCTTCTTCCAATAGTCCAAAGAAATTTTTTGTATGTTGATTTGGGACTTGTTCCTTATAAGCACAAACATTTGGATTGATATAATTATTGTACGCTCTTCACCGGTTAGCCTATAGTGCCATATCCTTCTCAACTCTACCTTCATAAGATTTGTCTTTTTATTCACTAAATGTATGGTCAAGTTGTAGAAGTTGACTGTGACAATAAACAAAAGATGTTTTCCTCCATTTTTAAGCTTGAAAATTTTAGTTTGACCTATACAGTATAAACAAGACTTTAGGTCTTAACGAAATCACTAATAGTCTAATCAATGCAGCTTTCAACTAAAAATTCTTCTTCATTTTTATTTCATACGTTTCAACACCTTCATCCCAAAGTACTTTCAGTATGTCAATGAGAGGATGCAAATAAACATCCAAAATTTTCCCTAGATTCTTTGGTCATGGGATAACCACACTAAAAAACAAGTTGTCTTGTCGCGTGCACATCCATGGTGGAAGATTGTACATAGTAATGATTACTAGCCAACATGAATATTGCACATTTGACAACCTAAAGGAGTTGAACCCATCTGTACATAAAATAATGCGTACACCACATGGCTTAAGGGAAAATTGAGGAAATTTTTTATCAAATTACTTCCATACCTTGTATTTCATTATCAATTAATTGATTCTTTGAGTGCCATAACATATGCCATGCAGCATGTCTTGACATATACAAATGTTGAAGCCTAAAAGTTAGAGGTAGATATTGTAGTACCTACCAAGGTACCATATGTCCAAATAGAGACACCTTCTCTTTATATCATAGACTAAAATACGTAGGACACTAAGTCATGCTCTTAGTTTCTTTGTAGTACAACATGCAATTATTCACACAAGCATGGATCTTCATAACACTAACATGCTATTCGGTCACCTCCTAGGTATTTACTTAATGATAGACAACACATGATCATAACATGCTGTAGGCATATTAACTTTAGACGACAGATTCAATAGTCGTGCCACAATATGAAGGTTTGTGTACTTACTACAACTAGTCCACATAAGTTTGTCAGCTTCTTCCAATAGTCCAAAGAAATTTTTTGTATGTTGATTTGGGACTTGTTCCTTATAAGCACAAACATTTGGATTGATATAATTATTGTACGTTTTAGGTGCCATCATGCTTGTAAAGGCCTCTAAATGAGTGTGGTGGGTCTCTGCGATCCTTTCAATGACTGGGAAGGTCAATCTTGACCTGCTAGGCAAGCCATCTCAGAGCGTATCCCATCACGGGGTCTATCACTATTGCTTCATGGCTATCATTTGTTGTAGCTTGTGCTGTTGAGGATTTAGCCAAATCTAGACAATTGAAATTGAATGGTTCTCTATGTGTTTCCACGGTGTATAGTCCCTTGTAAATCCATTTTTGTAATGATGAAATTTCACATCATCTTCTTTTAGAAATCTTGTGTTCTTAAATATAGAACGTGAACATTTGATCATATCTCCTACTTTTGTTCGAGACATAGCAAATTCAATAAACTCTTTAACACCTTGAATGAATCTGCCTGAAAGAAATCCTTCATCTAATCAATTCAACGTCCAACTGCAGTTCGATGCTATAATGTTTAACTACAATTCATAGACTTTAATTGCCTATCCTTCATAAATTATTTGTGGTTCGAAAGTTAAACTTGCAAAATGAATCAAATTAATTCCTTTTTTCCTGAAATAAATGATTGAAATCAATATTAAAATAATCACTTAGACAATTGAACAAACAGCTTAGCAACAAGGAAGGAGTTCTCCCTTGCAAATATTTCTTGAAAGCCCAAAACAAAAAGATCTACTCCTTACTCAAGTTCATAGTGAAGACCAAGCAAGATTTCATTGATTCCACCTTCTTTTTATTTAGATTTCTTAATTCGTTAGCAATTTGAACATATTAAAAGCCAAACTATTTCAATTCACGATTTCTATTAATAAGTAATGATCATTCCTAATTACATTCTTAATTAAAGATCACGTATTTAAAACCTTTCAAAAAAAAAAAAATTCAAATTAACACTTTCTCAAGAATACTTCAAGGAAGGAATGGGTTGTGTTCAAAGTTAGACTATTTGCAGTACACTAATCTAATAAACAGTAAAATCAATCAGATTAAAGTTTCGTATTTATTTTCAAATGACACTTTTTCTTATCTTCGAAGGGTGATCTCATCCACCACATAAGAGGAGGTTCCGGCAGCTAATGTTGATGATGAATTCAGAATACAAGGGTCTCTAGATCCAATTTTTGGGATAGATCGAATCCTTGTACTTTTGGGAAACCAACAGATGAAATTTTTGATTAATTTCTTTATTGGAATAATTTATTTATCTATCAATCTTGATCGAAGTTTAGTGGAAGAACATAAAGTTGGCGTAAATGCACAATAGAATAACATTTTCAGAAAATGGAAACAGATTTTTATTTTGGCCCAAAATGCTATTATGAAGAAAAACATGAATTTCCTTCTTCATATGATATAATTTGAAGGTTAATGAATATAAAACTTCCAACCTTTTAACTGTCCAATTATATTTACGTGGGTGACAAATAGGATATCAAAATAAAAAATTTAAGCATCGATCCTTATGTGCAAAATCCCATATCGCAGAAAGTGAAGCAGGCGTAGACAGTAAAGCAGAAGAAGAGCAGAGGTACTGTTTGGTACTCCAAGTTATATATATATATATAACTCGCCCCTAGAACCTTGGAGGGGGTAAATCGCGGGTTATGCCTCGACTGGATCACAGGTTCCCCCCATTGCCTGTACACTTCTGCGCACAAAAGACCCTCCTCCATTGTGATTGCTCCATACCAAATATTTGGCCGCAGGTTCCCACCAGGAATTGAACTCTCTACCCTACTGCTGGAAGTAAGACAATGTTGATTGATCTACCAGTTGAGCTGTGCCCCGGGGGCTCCAAGTTATATTTTTATGAAGATAAAGACGGGAGATTGAAAAATAGATTGATGAATCACGACAGAGAATGAGAGAAATTGTTGTTTTGATATTTGATTTTGATTTATTTTTTAATTCTAAACAATTTACTAACAAAGCAACCTGTACAAAATATTTCACGATTGCGTATTTAGTGTATTAACAACGAATAAATTCGTACGTAAATTTCAATTATTATTATTATTTTATAATTTTACAATCAACAATTAGTACATCGCAGTCTTTATTGGTAATCTTTTTATATTTTTTATATTAATTTT